AAATGTAAATTCATCAGAATATGATCAAGAAAAATCCGTGATTTGTACCAATAGAAAACTTAGATGTTAACGTAGAAAATTCGCCGGATAGTAACATAATATCTCAAAACGAAGATTTTGACTTTGAATTTAAACGATCCAGATACAATTTCGATAAAAATTAGAGATTATTGAAAACGGCCCTCCCCGCTTGATAACCAAACATTTTCCGAGAGATAATTCTGGCAGAAAGTTTTCAGAATCGTTCTATTATAGAACATTACCGAATGGAGAAAAAGTACTTAGAAATTATTTAGTATATTCAAATTCTCAAAACGCAGTTTTTTGCTTTCCATGTAAACTATTCAGTGAGAAGCATTCACAGTTTATTAAGGATGGATGTAATAATTATGCAAATTTTTAACCCACATTTCAAAAATACATGAAAGCAGTCACCTTAAACATAGTTCAAAATGCCGTGAACTCAGAATGTCTTTGCGTAATTTATGTACTATTGATGCAGCTCAACAAAGACTTTATAATGCAGAAAAGGTTTACTAGCAATCGTTTATTGAACAGCTTATTTTTTTAAATATTTAGCCCGGCAATGACTTGCATTTAGAGGTTCTTCGAAAGAGTTGTATCGTAGTGATAATGGAAATTTTTGAGGTTGGTTGAAACCATAGCCAAATTTGATCCAATAATCGCTGAATCTCTCCACAAAATTCAAACATCTTAAAAGAAGAACATTTCTCATTACTTAGGGGATCAAATTTAGAATAAAATTATAAGCATTATTTTAGAAGGGATTAAAAAGCATTTATTACCATATGATTAAATAGTCAAACTATTACTTACTAATTCTGGATACTACACCTCATGTCATACCGAACAGTTAGTTGACTGTTGTAATTCGATACAGTCATACCGAACAGTTGACTGTTGCAATTCGATTTGTTTATATGAACGGGGAAACCAATAAAGCTCAAATTGAAGAACTTTTTTTAGGATTTCAATATGTCAATGTCACTATTGGACAGGGTCTGTCTGAATTCATAAATGGGCATTTAAAATCGTTAGAACTAAATTTATCGGTGTCCGCCGATAACATCGCGGACGAAAACATCGCGGAGAAAACAACGCAAGGCGAAAACGTCGTGCTACAAAACATCGTGGGAGAAACATCGCAAAGAGAAAACATCGCAGTCCTAAAACATCGTGGTAAAAAACATCGTCGTCGAAAATATCGTGGTAAAAAATAAAGTATCTGCAAATCATCGCATGACGATAACATCGCAGACATGCTTTTTCAAAACATGCTTTATAACTGTAAATGAATATTCCCATAATGATTTGTGAGCGCAAATGTAAAGAAGGATAATTTTTACTTTCACATTTTCATTAACTAATAAATTTTTGCTGAAAAAAGTAAGAAGGAAACTTAAGCATAGAAAATAAATGCAACTTATAGCTTATACGTTTCATGAAAAATTACCAGTAAAACTTTATAAAAAATGATTTATTAATTGCCTTTGTTAGCTAACTATGTCGGTTTAAAATTCTATTAATTGCTATAAGTTGCATTAATTTGCTATGTTTAAGTTTCCTTCTACTTTTTCAGAAAAAGATTAGTTAATAAAAAAAAAATGTGAAAACAAAAATTATCCTTCTTTATATCTTGCACTCACAAATCATTATGGGGATATCCATTTACAGTTATTAACGCATGTTTGCGAAAAGGATGTATGAAAAGCAGTCTGCGATGTTATCGTCATGCGATGATTTGTAGATACTTTATTTTTACCACGATATTTTCGACGACGACGTTTTTAAATTGCGAAGTTTTTGAACCGCTTTATTTTCGACGACGATGTTTTGTACCACGATGTTTTAGGACTGCGATGTTTTCTCTTTGCGGTGTTTTCTCCCACGATGTTTTGTAGCACGACGTTTTCGCCTTGCGTTGTTTTCTCCGCGACGTTTTTGTCCACGATGTTTTTGCCGCGATGTTTTCGGCTGTAACCAAATTTATCAGATTTACGAGACCAATTTTATGATAATGGTGCTACTATGAGAGGAAAGCACTAAGGATTGCAGCACAAAATTCTTGAAAATAATTCGAGAACACTCTATATCCCCTGCTTTGCCATTGTCTAAATTTAGTTGTAAATGGTGCAGCTAAAATTTCCTTCGAAACAGTTAATTTCTTCGGAGTAGTGCAGGAGCTTTACAACTACTGTTCTTCATCCGTTAAGCGTTGGTCTATTTTGCAACAGTATGTTGAAAATATTACTTTAAAGCCACTCTTCAACCCCAGATGGGAAAGTAGAATTTAAGACCCAACGGTCGAAGAAAGCGATTTGAAGGGAAATTTGAGAGCGTTAATAAATATTCAAGAAGATGAAACAAGAGACATGGAATCAAGAACTCAAGTAAAAACGTTAATTCAGATGGTTTCGTCGATTAAATTCATTTGTTCCATTAACATCTGGAACGATATTTTAAATTTTGTAACTGGGGTAAATGAAATCAATTAAAACTCTAAATGGGATTTACAAATCGTGACTGACAATTTACAAAATCTTATATCAGAACTCAATAATCGTCGATCAGATGAAGCGTATGAATATGCAAATGCCAATGCAAGGGTCGTTGCTGATGATTTGGGGGTGGATACTGATTTTCTACAAAATCGAAAGAGGTTTAAAAAGAAACTATTTCAAGATGAATAAACCAATCAGCAATCTGAGACAAAAATTTAAGGTTGAAGTTGTCAATATAATATTAGACGCTACTATTTCTTCAATTACTGAAATATTCAGTCAATTAAAAGAACATTACAATTACTTCAAAGAACTATAAAGCTAATTTAAAAAACTGGAGGGACAATGAAATTTTTAACATTGTAAAGAATGAGAACAAAAATTAATGGATACTAAAAATGTTAATGGAAAGGATATTGATGGATTAAATTTGTTCGAAGAAATAAAATCTTTGCGATGTTTTACCAAAGAGGATATGTCACCTATTGATGTTTCAAATTATATTTATGAAAACAATCTTACCGATGCATTTCCAAATATTGCAATAGCTTTACGCATTTCTTTAACCCTGCCAGTTTCGGTGGCTACTTCGAAGTTTTTCAAAGCTTAAAATTATAAAAAACTACATGCGATATACCATGGTGCAGGAGAGATTATCGGACTTGTCAATTATATCCCTAGAGAGCGAATTTTTTTATAAATTAAATATAAAGGAATTGATATGCGCGTTTGTAACTGCTAAAGCTAGGAGAATCAATATTTGAATATATGTTCTAATTTTTATATTTTACTTGAAAAATATTTTACCATTCTTTCGTTTTCAAAATTTATGAAATAATAAAAAACAATAAGACAAACACGTGTTTTAATATTATAATTTTTAAGCTTTTCAGTTCGAAAGTCAAATTTTGAATATTATAAAAGAATGTTTCACATATAATTTGCAGCACTTTATATGAATGCAACAGAACTCCATCAAGGGGCGCCAAATTTCAATTTGAACAAGGGCGCCTAATACCCACGCGGCGGCCATGTGTTCAAAAATTAAAGACGAAACGGGTTTTTCAATATAACATTCCATTCTGCAAAAGGTTTCAAAATCATCAAAAATAATACCATAAAATCCCCAAGATGTAAGAACATGGGTAATGTAAGCAAAACCAAAAGAGAAATCAGAATGATAGAAAGGAACTTTATTTAAAAAGCAGCATAGAGCACAATGCAACAAAAGGCCGAAACATCCATGTGACAAGTGTTCACCAAGAAACATACAGCCTTTAGTAGGGGATATGATCTTCCCTAGCTTCTGTGCAGGTTTAATATCATTTGTCTTTGTGAATATGAGGTTGTCAATGAGTTGATGAAGCATTCTGCTCATTCCTCTTGTTGTACCAAACGCAGCTCCGGAATCGTTACTGGCGATAAGTTATGTGCTGCCACCCGTCTTCCTAGAAAGTTCCATACATGCTCGATGGGATTCAGATCCAGAGACCTTGCTGGTCAATCCATGTGTTCAGTATCCTCACTCTCCAACAGCTCTTCGACAGCAACATTGCGATGAAGTGGAGCATTGTCATCCATGAAGAGGATTTGAGGACCCATAGCACCTGTGAAAAAATGACGCATGCAAGAAGGAGAAACTCGTTACAATAGCAATCCCTGGCGACTGAACCTCCTTGGAAGATCTGAAGTTCGGTATGGCTACCAAGCATGATGTTTCCCCAAACAAGAACTCCGAGACCTCCAAACCAGTTCCTTTTGATGATGTTGAATGGGTTATTACGTGTTCCCCCTCTCTCTCCAGATGTGTATGCGTCTCGAATCGCAACTCAGACTAAATCTGCTCTCTTTCGTAAAGAGTACTCGACCCCATAAATTGTCTATCCGATTCTGGTGTTCGCTGCACCACAGAAAACCTTCTCCTTGAGCAAATGTTACGCTTCGCCGGCATGGACAACCAACTATCTCCGATAAGGAACTTAAGAAGCTTCAAGTGCTATAAAGTAGCTGTCTTCGCAGTATTCGAACCTTAACATCGAACCGTTGGCGAAGTTTCTCAGAAAACTCAATGAACGCTTCTATCAGGAAGCACAAAATGTAATATAATGAACCACTTTGAACTTTTCGGCTACGATATTCTTCCTGAGGACCGCCATCTTCGTTCTTTTGCGGCTTTTATGCTTAGCGATAACCAAACTTTTCCTACATAAAGCTTAAATGTGTATTCACATCTGCTCTGTCCAAAATCTCAGCTGAATACATGTTTATAGCATTATTTTCACTTCATCCTCATCACTCATTTAATGCTAAGTAAATGATTGTAAATATTTTGTATATAATCTTCCAGTTTAAGAAAAAAATGTGTATTTTATGTATTAAATCTTGTTCTAGGACTCACTTAGGCATTTCTGTCCCTGCATCGCTACATGAAGCAACCAAATGAAGACAGCTGGTATACAGCTTGAAACTTTGCAACCTAGACGCGACGGCAAAGGTAAACGGAACGGAGGTGTGGGAGAGGGTGAAAAGAAACTTTATTCAAACGGGGGAAACAGATGTTATAACGCTATGTTACGGAAAATAGATGTTGAAACTGTTTGGCGATAGTAGCATTGTTAAAAGGATTTACCTTTTCATTGTAAAAGGTAGGAGAAGCCATTACTTCTTTGTGGACATAATTGTATGTAAATAATGTATGTTAATAAACTATCGTTAAATACTGAAAAAATTTCCAGCTTGTAAAAGAATTGCAATCTTGTTTTAATTTTCTATGCCATGGAAGGGATTGGCACTGTAGGTAACTGGAGGGCTGGTCCTGTATTTGAAAACTATGCCCAGTTTTGTTTACAGTATACTGTATTGCCAAATTTTGTCTTGTTAAGTCAGTTCACAAGTGGTTCATTATGTTTGTATTTATGTGTTCAGTGTGACAGTGTTAAATTTTGGATTGTTTCTGAACAAACCTTTTTGCTTGAACTTCTATGTTAAAAGATTTTATTTTTGATTAAAAAATTTTGTTATAGCATCGGCTAGTCACGATGCCACGTTCCAGTGAATAGGTTACGGAAACATCCCCAAAGGAACTACGATTGACAAGAATATATGTTGCATCTTTGTTTCACGTAAGTTTCATGTAATTTATTCGTTTTGTTTTATATAGTTTTTTCATTCGTTACTAAACAGTTAAAATAAACAATGAAATTAGGTACACTTGTAATTTTTTTATTTATATTTGTATAACATATTTAGTAAATTAAAAAATATAAATAATGCAAAGAAGCAAAACTGATCTTAATGAAGGATGTAATCACGTCTGACCTTCATTTAAGTTTTGAAGTCGTACTCCATGTCGAGCTGTCAAACAATTCATAGGGCAATAACTGCCATTTTGCTAATGGGTCAATTTTCAGCTTGTTGAACATAGCTGGATCTAATGCATCATAAAGATTTTTAGTAGGGATTCAAGTTAGATGAATTTGTTCACACTTATTTAGTACATTTCCTATAAATTATTTTTGAACAGAAAGTGATGATTCATTTAGTTTTTAATTAATCCAAGCTAACTACACCAACTGACTGTTAGTTAGACCTATATTCTGACTTTGAGTGCAGTGATAAGATTCAACTGAATGATCAGCTGTCATTTATTTACACATTTTACTAAACTCTTTTCACTTAATTTTAATACTTTTAATTTTTAGTTTCATTTAAACTCTTCGTGAGTTTTGGGATAGTATCTATGCTGTGACATTTCGTTATTGCAACAAATAATCGGATTTCATAATATTTTTAAAATGCTTTTTATGATTGAAGTTTATATTAGTTGTGCCTCTTTCCATGAATCTATGAAATTTAAATAGTATTTTGTGATACCTGATTTAAAAGATAAACTCTGAGATGTATTATATTTTCGTTTATTAAAAAAAAGTATTTTGTATTCCTAACTAGATATATTGAAAAATATATTAAATTTTTTAGTTATAATTGATAGCAAGGAATAAGTGATATTAAAAATATATATGAATGAATATGTGTTTACTATAAATGCACTGTTTGCTTTGTGGTTTGACTTTTGTATATAGGTCACAGTCGTATAAAAATAATCTATCATTTTTAATGTCCTTAAAAGATTTGTGCTGAAAAGCTTTTATAAGTGCTTTAGTAGAGTAAAATAATTTGTATCATAGAATAAAAAGTTCCTAAAGTTTGCAATATTTTTTAATAAAGGATACTTTTAGCTTATAAATAAATATACTGACATAAAAGGCACTTGAAACAAATGTCTGCTTTGCATATGTTATAAGGAAAATTTTATATTCATAGATGACATATAAAATGTTCAATGTATTTGTTTTCGTAGTTTTTCTTTAATTTTTTTTAAATATATGTTCAGAAAATACATTATTGATAAATACATATACTGTCAAAAGTCATTAATCCGGACTCGTCAGGACTTCGGCGATTCCGGATTATAGATCGTCAGTTTAAATCTGGTAAGATGGCATGCAGAAATTATAAAATTAAAAATATGAAACCGTAATTTATGAAATAAAGAACAATTATGATCTAAAGGGTATAAAAATTTACAAAAAAAAAATAAGCTTAATATTTACTTGTTTACTTTATTAAACATTTCTTTCAATGTAAGTTGTTTAAGTTGCTTCGTTTTTTATGTGATAATACATTCTCTTTAATTCTATAAACAGACATAATTTCTTGTTCATTTACAAAGTTCCGCTGTTCAAGTCCTATAATTGCTGTGTCGAGAATACCGACTAATTTGTCAATCAAAATTTTTTCGTTTTCAATAACCTCTGTCACTTTCTTCGCTATCGGAACGTATTATAATATAATGACAAGGAATTTGATTTAAATCATATCAAAGGCGGATTACATCGAGATGAAATACTACATTTAGTAAGGAATTATTAGCCAAATAAAATAAAAACATCTGCCCTGAAGATAAGGATAGTGCTGACAGATCAACTTCCAATTCATTGTGTGCCGCGGCGTTAAAGATAAACAAACTTTAAAGTTTAGATAAACAAAGGATATGCCTTTATCCATTTTTTGCAGCAATTCTACTTTTTGTTTCATGGACTTCGAAACATACTTTCGCTTTGTAGATCCTTTACATATTAGTAAGTATATATTAGAAATTCTATTTGACAATCGAAAGTTCAAGCTTACTTTTATAAAATTGCTCTAACAGTCTGCAAAAAATAATAGGCCGGATCCAATTCGAAGATTAAGGAACAACGCAATCTGCAACATTAACTGAATTAGATAATTTGAGCTTAGCTTATACCGTCCGTTATACATTAAACGCGCATTCGTAAGCGTATTTTGCGCATGCGCACACGCATATTCGCAGCCCTAAAGGTCTTATGCGCCTGTGTCAACGCGATGCATGCACAGAAAGTTTGTAGCTTTGAGGTCCGGATTATGGGAGTCCAAATTAACGACTTTTGACTGTATACATTACCATTCTCATGAAAGAAAATGTCTGCTTTCTATTATAATGATTGTCGAGAAAGAAGAATTTTGCTACACATTGAGAATGTGAAAAGTAAAATTTGGTACTTTTCCATTTCGCTGGCGCAAATCTCGCCAAGCAGACATTATTGGCGACTACATACAGTATAAACATAAAAAATGTTAACAAATGTTAGTTCTAAGAATTTTTTTTGAAGGGCATAAAAATTTTAATATTGTTTAAAAAATTTTTTTGTAAAAAGCCAATAAATAAAGACAATAAATTTGTAAACAGATATTAATTTTAGAACTTGGTACACTTTCATGGTTCAACATCCTGATTCGCCGATTTATATCACGTGACCCCAAGTGATCTCATCACGCTACAAAAATCTAATTCTCTCAGTAATTATCTACATTAATTTCAAGTTAAATCTTAATTTAATTGCAAGTTTAAATGCGAGAATTATTTCAATTCGTACGAATAACTTACTCAGGTATTATGTAAAACCGCAGTGCTTTACTTCTCTAGTGTTTTCTCATTAGAATTGATGAATTTAACCATTGACTTTGCCTTTTCTATATTTTTGCCTTCAGATGAGATTGCATTCTAATTGATTTAATTACCACGAATGGCCTTAAGGCATAAAATTGAACTATCAGGTAAAAATTCTATGTAATTGTATTCCAGTATTGAAAGAAACAATCAATCTGATAAGAAACAGTTCATACTTGCTTTGAAAATGAGGCATAAAAGGTTACCAGCGAGGATATTCTGTTTGGGAGCAGTTGTACCATTATTGGCGACTTTATTGCTTGCGCCGGCAAAACGGAAAAGTACCTAAAATTTATTTCAGGTATGTTTATTGGTTTGCTGTAGATGTCCGTGAATAGAAAACTGAAATTACATTATATGTCAGCAGATTAATACTAGCTTTTAAATATGCAATTCAGAATTTGTGTGCATTATTATCATAGACCTATTTTACTTTTATTCAGTTACTTTATAGGTTTAAGTGTTTTCACTTTAGAAATGTTCAGCAAGGCCTGTTTTCACAGTGTAACAAGCATCCAGTCTCTAATCTCATACCTCTTGTATTTTCCACAACACGCTTTTGTCACTTTCTTAGCTTGGTAAACTGTGATCTTCAGTTTCACTTCATCAGCATCCGGTGGAAAGGCTGGAATAAGTCTTTCTCAGAACTGTATAAAAAGAATTAAAACCTCATGAAAACTTTGTCTTAAGGCGAGGCATTTTCAGTAGCTTATCATTTGGGAATATTTCAGTGCAGAAATGTTCATGGCTGTCTGTCATTTGATAAACGTAATTGGAGATTTGAAACGTAATTTCCATGTCTTTTCAATGTATAAGTGAATAACTAATGCTCTTTTCCTAAAAATACATCTTTTGTTTTGAAGGTATGAAATAATCTCTGTATCGTTGTGCATAGAGATGGATTTTAAAAAATTATATTCTGAATGCACACTAAACAATGGTTAATGTGTTTATTTTCAAGCACTTAAAAGATACAAAATTTTTTACTCCCAGAGGTGCAATTTTGAAAGTTTCAATCATGTTGATAATTTCAATAATAATTCTCAATATGTATAATTTAATTATTTTTTATTTTCTCTTACACTGAATATCTCTACATATATTTAGGTAGTTATCCATGTTTTATATTTAAAAATGCATTAATCCTTTTCCAAAAAATATCATCAATAATATTTAATTATTCCTTGTTCAGTACTTTTCTTTCTTTTCTCACATCTTACAGCACCTATATTTCATATACAGTCAAAAGTCGTTAATCCGGACTCGTCGGGACTTCGGCGATTCCGGATTATAGATCATCAGTTTAAATCTCGTAAGATGGTATACACAAATTCTAAAATTAAAAATATGAAACCGTATTTTAGGAAATAAAGAACAATTATGATCTAAAGGTATCAAAATTTACAAAAAAAGAAGCTTAATATTTATTTGTTTACTTTATTAAACATTTCTTTCAATGTAAGTTGTTTCATTTTATGTGATAATACTTTCTCTTTAATTCTATAAACAGACATAATTTCTTGTTCAGTTAAAAAGCTCCGCTGTTCAAGTCCCGTAATTGCTGTGCCGAGAATACCGACTAACTTGTCAATCAAAATTTTTTCGTTTTCACTAACCTCTCTGTCACCTTCTTCATGTCTTTATCCATTTTTTGCAGCAATTCCACTTTTTGTTTGACGGACATCAATACATACTTTCGTTTTGTAGATCCTTTGGGAGCTCCAGAATCGGAAATTGACATAATCGAAAGTTCAAGTTTACTTTTATAAAATTGCTCTTACAGTCTGCGAAAAATAATAAGCTGCATCCAATTCGAAGATTAAGGAATAACGCAAGCATCAACATTAACTGAAATAGATAATTATATAATTTTAGCTTATACCGTTCCGTTATACATTAAACGCGCACGCGAAAACGTATTCTGCATTGCGCACACGCATATGCGCAGACCGTAAAGGTCTAACGCGCATGCGTAAACGCCTATGCGCATGTTTCAACGCAGCGCATGCGCAGAAAGTTTCTAGCTTTGAGGTCCGGATTATGGGTATCCGAATTAACGACTTTTGACTGTATCAGATGCAAAAAAATTTCCCATCCACCCTTTATATCTAATATTATAATATCCTCTAATCATTTTAAGCAATGTAGTTACATATTATCCTGTCAACGAAAATATTTGGCTATCATCTAATTTTGAAAGTTGGCATATATTCTGCTAAAGTTCCACCATTCTTGCAGAATTCTCACCTGCACTTCTATCTGCAACTCTTGTAATAAAACATATGCAAGTATGTCTGCACAATCCATCAAATAATCACTGCTGAGAGAGTATTTGGCCTGCTTTGTTTTTACACTTTATAAGTAGGCTTTGTTCAATTTCTACTATTTTGTGAGGCTCTCTGATGTTGCTGGAAACTTTGTGTACAGATTTCCTGCAGGCAAGTGTCTCAATTTATTATGAATGGTTAATTACAGACCATTTTGTCAACCATCTGTATAAGAACCAGAATGCAGTTACAAATATACTTTTACAGCACTTTTTTTTTTTTTTTTTTTCCAAAATGCAGGGAAAAATATAGTAGTAACAGTTTTTTATACTTGATCATAAAAACAAAAGGTGGCTCATCGAGAAGCATGTTTATGTCATACGGAAGCACAGATGTTACTACGCCATTTTTCCTTACTTGGTGTTAAATTGTGCTGCTTGACAAACAGTATCATTGTTGAAGGGAAGTACTTTGTTAACATGTAATAATTATTTGCATGTAAATAATAAAATGTCTATAAATTGTGAAAAAAATTACCAGTTTCTAAGTGAATTGCCATCATCTTTTAATTTTCCGCTCCATGGAAAAGATTAGCACTCTAGATAACTGGAGGGTTCTATTTATTGTATATTGTCAAATGCTCGTGGTTTTAAATCAATTCACAAGTTCTTCTTTATATTTGTGTCTGTGTATTTTGTGTGGTGAGTGTTAAATGTTTGATTGTTTCTGAATAAAACTGTTCGCTCCAACTTCCAAGGTAAAAGATTTTATTTCTTAATTTTAAAATTTTGTTGTACCATAGCCCAGTCACCAGATGCATAATGAAGTGCCAGGTCCTAGGACTAGGTCACAGACAAAATGTCAGAGTTCCAAGTTTGAAGGATCTTTGTCTCATGTAAGCTTCATTTAATTTATGCATTTTATTTTATGCAGTTTTTCATTCATCATTAAACAGTTACAATAAACAAAATAATTAGGTATATGTATAAGTATTTTTTAATATTTGTATATAATGTTTTGTAAGCAAAAAAAGAATTATAAAAGATGCAAAGAAGCAAAACCTCATCATAATGAAGGATGTAATCACTTCTGACCTTCATTTAAGCTATGGAACTGCAGTTTTGTATATTGAGCTGTCAAGCGAATCATAAGGCTATAGCTGCCATTTTTCTAATTGTGCAATTTTCAGCTTGTTGAGCATAGTTGGAGGGGACCATGCATAGAAGCAGCATAACTAAGACATCATAATAATTTCTAATAGTGATTCAAGGTAGATGAATTCAATGGCCAATTTCCATGAGCAATGTTTTTATGCTTGTACTCATTCAGAAGTTTTAATGGGGGCATTATAATTGTCCATAAGTATAAATATTGGACAAGCTGCTGCAGCATGCAGTCACACAGCGAGTTCAATAATATCTCAGTGCCATGAATTGATATGCTACACTTCTTGTGCAGATCAGTGCATCCTCTATATTACTAATAGAGGTTCTTTCAAATTTTAACTTTAACATGATTTAGCTTTTGAGGATTTTAACTTTAACATGATTTACTGTTAGCTTTTGATTCTAATGCGAGAAGGGCTACTCTATATTACTTCTTAATAATGACAGCAGTCGTATAGAATTATTCCAAATTTGTCAATACCAGTGTTGTATAGAATTATTCCAAATTTGTCATAGTTTAAACTGTTTTCTTTATTTTCTGTTGAACAGTAGATGGAAATGTTTCATTAATCTCATGTTCATTTTACTGCTTATAGATAAAATGTATTTATAAACATTTGTAGATAAAATGTAGTTATAAACATTTGTAGATAAAATGTATTTATAAACATTTGTAGATAAAATGTATTTATAAACATTTGTAGATAAAATGTATTTATAATGACATGAAGCAAATGCTGTTAGAAAAATGTGAAAACAGTTACACTGAGAAAACTATTTTTGTGCGCTGATAAATGTAAGTTAGAGAAGTACAACAAAAGTGGTTACATAAAGATGCAAGTATCTAGGATTACTGTAAGCAAGCACAACTGACTCTACTGCAAATCGTCAGTATGGTGATGATGATTGCAAACTGTCGCAGTAGTGATGATGAGTGCAGTTCAGTTACACCAAAACTTTTATAACTGGGCTTTTCGCCTTAATATAAAAGATGATGGTTCAAAATTTTAATATTTCTTCTAAAAGTTAGTTCTTAGTCAGTTCCTTATGAGGGAGGCTTCTATTGATGGAAACTTAATGTATAAGTTGTAGCATTAGCTGTTTTTAAATAAATGCATAAATGACTTTTACATTTGGATATCAGTATTGGTGTGTGGTGTATTTAATTATGGCAAAGCACACTAGGGCTATCTGCCTAAGGGGAGGGATGCCTTCGTGGAGGACTTTCTAAGGGAAACTGGCTCGTATACACGTTACACATGGGGAAAACCACGAAAACACCCATGCAGCCAGCCCGTTCGCGGGATTCGAACCTCGGACCGAACTACCAGTGTTCAGCGACTTTACTGCTCGGCTGCTGGTGGGCCTATCAGTATTGGTTTATAGGGGGAAGGATTATTGTGAACTAAAATTTTTTTGTGATATTAAAAGTGAATAGAAAACAATCAACATGCATTTTTTAACACATTAGTAACACAGTATATCGATTAATGTCTGAAATTTGTTTGGAATAATAATCATAATGCTTAATTTGTTAAAGAAAATTTCAAATGCAAAATACTGAAAAACATTATTGCACATATCTATGAATTCCACATGTATATGAAACTGGAACATTACTGGTTCTGTATATATGTGAAAGACCGAGATTTGGAGAATGTCGGCATTCACATAGTTGTTTGGTGCATGTCCAAAATATATGCCATATATCCTTATTTCTGACATACACTGTCAAATGTCGACATTCACCATGCACTAATGGTGAATGTTGAATATCTCGGAGATTGGCATTTTGTTCTCCGTATTTCAGGCTCCATAAAACTTCAAGGGTGACGTAACATCTGTCTAGCTGAGAGGAGTAACCAATCCCGGGTGAGAAGATTCTAACATGAGAAGGGCTACTCGATATTACTTCTTAATAATGACAGCAGTAGTGCTTGGATAGATGATAAGCATTTAGTTTTAAATTTAGTCAATAAAAAACTTTTTTTTACTTTTGCATTTATACCGTATATGTCAAAATATAAAAAAACTTAAGTAACAGCACATGTAAATAAACTTTTGAAGTTAAACAATACATTCTAAATGAGAAAAGGAAATAACACAAAAAAAACTTAATTATGTGATTGAAACCTTATTTATTGCAACAACATAAACTTTTATCGTGTGAATTGCACAAGTGTCCCTTGCTTTTACAACTGTATTTAGTTGTGGAACACTTCTTTTTGCAGTGATAGCGTGTATCGTCTTGCCCTCTACTTCTCGAATTAGCTGCAGCTGTTTCTCTCAGCAACATTACTTGAGAAGGAATCTCATCTATGAAAAGTAACTTTTCTTTACAAATTACGAACTAATTATGGGTATAAAGCTGCTTGAAGTTATCATTTTTATTGCTAGTTTATAAAAGCCGGAGTCTTATTCCAACAACAACTGCCAACACATTTCAACCATTTGTACGATCACGGTCGACATCAGGGACTTGTATTCGTACGGTATCACCAATTTGAGCAGGGAAAATTTTTTCCGAGGTTTGTAACATTTTTGTTGCTTGCAGTAAAAGATTCTCTTTTGCGCCGATCTTTTTATAGAAATTAACTTGTGTTGTTCAGTCCAGGCTTGATACAAAGACGTGGTAGGTTGCAGATCCTCCTCAATATTTTTCTTTGGAATATAGTTTTTGGTATGGCCACTGCTCAGATTTTCTTCAAAAAGTATTAACAGTTTCTTCAAGCTGTTCTTCGGTTTCAATATTTGCGATTTGTTTGCCAGGCAAAAAAGACAATTCTTGGTTTAATGCCAAACGTAACTTCATAAGGAGTAATCAATCCCGATGAGGAGAGATCTGTTTGAAAAATGAAAACAATTGTCTTCTCGTTTATTTGCAATTAATGCATTTAACTTTTCAAGGAAAAGTTCACGATTCATTGCAGTATCCATTCAACATAAATTAGGGTATTGGATAGGGAAAAAAAAATAAATAAAATAGGAAAATGTTCCGCCTACCATCAAACCTAGCATAAGACTGACAAACAGTATTCCAGAGTATAGTAAAAATCGCAGCGGAACAAAGAATTTGGCGACAGACAGTTGCACCTCTGTTGAACTTTTCTTCCACCACAGTATATCTGTGATTGTCGACATACATCGGTGGTGGTCAGAATGTACAAGAATATAACCAAATATTCAGTCTTTTACCGACGCATCTGGTATGTGTTGACATTCATCGGTGAATGTCGACATTCTCCAATTTCGGTCTTATGAGTATATTTTTTCCCTTATAAAGTTTTATAGACAAATTACTTTGCTTTCACTCATTCTCCTGATTAATCAGGTAATACATAAAATTGTTTGAAGTATAAAGCTTCTTATACTTGAATAAAAGCAGTTATAAAATGCAGTACAGTACAATGCTTGAAAACTCTGCTTGGTCTCTGCAGTATCTAGAAATTAAGAATGGAATACTCAGTAAAAAGAAGCAAGTGTGCTGCAAATACAGTTTTACTTCCAATTAACTGAAATTCCTGCATGTCAGTTTCAAATACTTGCTGACTAAGAAATTGTGCTATGGCCAATGACATTAGATTGATTGATGTTGAATGATTTTTGGGGTTAGCATTTTTCTATTTGACCAAAAAATAAGTGAAACTCCAACATTGCCATGTCTACATGTCATCTTTAGATTGATAACTGATTACCTTAAATCTAGAAAATTTCCGTAAACCGGAATTACAGAAATCCCAGATATTTTGGCACTCAGACTTTGTAATGTGTTGTTGGTTGTCAAAGTGGGATTGAAGTATTCAGATCTCAGTCATCAGCTCAAATGTGTTAAAATCTTAATGTAAAATTTTAATTAAAGTAAGTTCTGAAAGAATCAGAATTGATTTTTAAGATCTGGGATCATAAATGATATTGAATAACATTATACAAATGGAAACTGTCTGCCTTTGTTCTTAGTGGAAGCCTGAAATACAGCGGTCACTCTGAAATTTTTAAGGTACACATAGATTTTTTTTTTTTCAAGGTATAATTATGAAAATTTAAGAGTCTCTTTCAGTATCAGTGCACTTCTGTTGGCAAACTTTCGAAAGGTTTAATTCCTCAAGCCATTCATTTTTTGCAATCTGTGAAAAAATGCATTTATAGTATCCTGAATATCATCTTCAAAATGAAAACAGCATCCACATAAGTTCTTTTTACTTCCTTGTACGAAGTAAAAAGGAAGTATTGTAATCGCGAAAAGTTTCAGGCAGCATATTTCAACGAAAATATTCACTTTGACCGCTTTCGAAAGCGATTTAACGATGTTTTTGCGTGATATCTGTACATAAGGACAGAATAAAAGACTCTTTTCCTCCAAAAAAAACTAAAAAACTGCTTTAAAATGAATTCTGAAGAGAATTTTCGTGGCGTCTGTATGAACGTATGTACTTACATGCGTACGTACGTATCTCGCATAACTCAAAAACGAGTAGCCTCAGAACGTTGAAATTTTGTGACTGTTATAACATGTAGATGTGCACCTCATATTTTGGTTGCAATCGGCTGCACCAAACGTATATAAATATATTTAGATATATATCCACTCTGTTACCGGCTCAGTGATCTCAGTTTCTTTACTTCTTATATGTTTGTAAACCGTTGTACGTTTTTTGCTTTAAAAATGATTGAATTATGTCGTTTTTATCTTTCCGGTTAAGGTTTTTATGCCTTTCGTTAATTCTGGAAGCAATATTTGTACAATTATCAACAATTTTAAAGCTGTTCTAAGTGCTGCTTAAGCCTTTTAAATAACTGATGGCGGACATTGATTGTTTGCATTTGAAACAGCAGAATTGTAGATTTGTTGCCAATCTAGAAGAGACTAAACTTTGCAACACAAAAATAACGCCTTCATTTATTATTGCGAATTAAATCATGCTTAATCCTTTCTGGAATTTCTTCGAGAAAATAAGTGTTTAAGATTTACTTCGTAATTTTTAATGCAGATATTTTGAGTTTTTATGTATTTTTGCCTTGTCGCGAAGTGAGAACTGAATTAATGGAATGAGAAATCTAAATCGTCTGTAAAAAAACTGTTTCTTTTCTGTTTTGTTTGCTTAATTTCTTTCATACATCGTTTTAGCTTTATTATAGTATTTGATAGAACATGTGACAACGATAATTCTTCAAATGATATAAATTTTGTGCATTCAGAGTGTCGTTATAGTAAACAAATATAGTGAATTTTAAAGAGTGCATTTATTCTATTGTGGTTTATGCGCTGTCAACGAAGTAGATTTAATTCAATCCAATTAATTTAAATGAAATTCAAGAAAAAAATGCGTATAATTTAATATTCCGTACAAAGAAGTCATGTGGTGTACACGTCAGATTTTTTAGATTAAAAAATAACCGAAATTCACACGTAGATAGATCAAGTGAATAGGGTAAATGTTCTATAACTTTGATGTGTTTTTGTTCAAGAAAGTTAGGCTGTGAAGCATGCTGAATCAGAAATTGTATTGCCATGGTGGAGCATAAGTACTCTAACATTTACTTCTTGAAGAAGTTCTGGGAGACAGTGTTATACCAGTTAGTTGTGACTTTCTACTGCCCTTCTAGTTTTGATGGCTTGGACCAGTCTTGTACTTTTAAAAGAAATGCCATACATTACGTTTTTTCATGGCATGTTGTCTTTTCACCATTGTGGCCATAGGTTCATCAAAAACTCATACTTTTATTTTCTTGATGTGTTGGAACATCAAAAATTGGCATGTACTATAATAAACAGTTATGAACTTGGAAATAATAGGGTGATCATGGTCTTTAAGTAATTTCAGGGTTTCAGGATATTCTGCCAAAGTATCACCAATCGTTCTTGCAGAATTCTCAGCTGCACTCTTATTTGCAACTCTTACAATAAAACGTGTAAATCTCTCTGCAAATGCCAACAAATAACCACCACTATGAGAGTGTTTGATTTGCTTGCTGGAATTTCTACTATTTTGTCAGCCCCTCTGATTTTTACTGGAAATTTTGTATAGAATGATTAGTACTAACTGCCTGCAGGAAAGTATGTCAGTTTATAAGCTTTTTCACTCATCTGTATAAGAACCAGAATGCAGTCTCAAATGGACATCTATAGTTCATTTGTTTTTTCCAAAATACAGTAAAAAGTACAGTAGTAATAGTTTAATTTCTATACTTGTTAATAGAAACAAAAGAGGGCTCATCGAGAAAGCACGTTTACATCAAATGAAAACACAAGTGTTCTAATGCAATTCTTATCCATAATTGGTAAAAAATTGTGCTGATTGGCAACAGGATCATGATTGATAAGGTATTAAATTAGTCCTTTTTTTTTTTTTTTTTTCCTAAAGTTAAACCAAGTTATTTCTTTGTTCACATATAATAAAAAGTATTAATAAAGTGTCATTAAATAGTAAAAACAATTACCAGCTTTTAAGTGAATTGTGGATAATTGCTGAGGTGTCCTGCATTTGAAAAACTATGCATAATTTTATTTATTGTATACTGTCAAATTTTTGTAATGTTAATCAATTCACAACTTATTCTTTGTATTTGTGTCTATGTATTAACATTGTGTTAAATGTTTGATTGTTTCTGAATAAAACTTTTTGCTTCAATGTCCGAGGTAAAAAAAATTTATTTCTAAATTTAGAATTTTGTTATATCATAGTTCCATCTCAAGATCCTTGATGAGGTACCAGGGTAGAAGGACAAGATCCCAAATTAAAACTTCAGTTCCTTAGGCATAGAGCGTGAAGTATCTTTGTCTCACGTAAGCTTCATTTAATTTATGCATTTTACTTTTTGCAGTTTTTCATTCATCACTAAACTGTTACAATAAATGATAAATAATTAGGTACATTTGTAACTATTTCTTTATGTTTGTGTATCATGTTTTTAAGTAAAAAAAAAAAAAAAAAATTATAAGGAATGCAAAGAAGCAAAACTGCTTATAATGAAGGATGTCATTTCTGACCTTCGTTTAAGCTGTGAAATGGTATTCCATATCCAGCTGTCAGGCAAATCATAAGGCTATAACTGCTATTTTTGTAATAGTTCCATTTTCAGCTTATTGAGCATGGTTGGATGGGACCATGAATAGAAGCAGCGAATCTGACACATTGTAGCAATTTTTAGTGGGGATTCACGTTAAGTGAATTTCATGGCCACTTCCTGTGAGCAGTATTTTTATGCTTGAGGTACACGTTCAGAAGTTTTGGTTTATGTGGACATTTATAATTGTCCATATGTAGAAATATTGGGAAATTTGCTGTGTGTGGAGTCACGCACTGGTTCCAATAATATCTCAGTGCCTTGGATTGATATACTACACTTCTTCTGCAGATCAGTGCAATATCTTAAAGAAATTACATCCTGCAGTATTTACATTGCTATTACAATTAAGTTCCATTCATCTGTGCTTTTGGTTATGACATTAACAAGGACAAAAACTAATGTTACTGAGGAATCCAGTTATTTTCGTTGGACATTTTATATTACTGTCAATGTTATTAACAGAGGTTCTTTTAAATTTTAATTTGATACTTTTCCATTTTGCGGTGCAAACGATACAGTCGCCAATAATGGTACAACTGATGCCAAATGGAATATCTTCTCTGGTAATCTTTTATGCTTCATTTTCAAAACAAGTCGCAGCCTTTTCTTATCAGATTGATTGTTTCTTTCAATACTGGCATAAAATTACATAGAATTTTACAAGATAGTTAAATTTGATGCCCTGAGACCATTTGCGGTAATTAAGTCAATTAGGATGCAATCACACCACTCACCCGAAGGCAAAATTAAGGGTTAAATTCATCAATTCTAACGAGAATGCACTGCGGTTTTTTCTGAGTAAGCTATTCGTACGAATTGAAATAATTCTTGCATTTAAACCTGTATTCCAAATTAATATCTAACTTGAAATTAATGTAGATAATTACTGAGAGAATTAGATTTTTGTAGCGTAGTTTACGTGAGATGAGATCACTTGGGGTCACGTGATATGAACCGGTGATCTGGATGTTGAGCCATGATAGCATAGTAAATTCTTAAATTAATATCTTTTTACAAATTTATTGTCTTTATTTATTGGCTTTTTACAAAATTTTAAACCAAATTAAAATGTTTATGCCTTCAAAATAAAAAAATTCTTAGAACTAACATTTGTTAAAATTTTTTATGTGTATATTGTATGCTGTCGCCAACAAAGTCTGCTTGGCGAGATTTTCACCGGCGAAATGGAAAAGTGCCTTTAATTTTAATAGGAATGACCAGAGTTGTATAGAATTATTCCAAATTTTTCATAGTTCAAAGAGTTGGCTTTATTTTCTGTTTAACACTATATGTGAAATAGATGAAAATAATTAACCCATCTCATGTTCATTTTAATGCTCATACGTAGAATGTATTTGTAAACTTACTTTTAATTAATAGGAATCAAATGCTGTTAGATAAATGTGAAAACAGTTGCATTGAGAAAACTGTTTCTGTACACTGTTAAATGTTCAGTTTTGTCATAAGGGTGATAATGAGTGTAGTTCAGTTACACTAAAACTTTTAATTAATGTGGGAAAAATAACTCTTATACTTAAATTTAAGCAGTTATAAATTGCTGTACAGTACAATGCTTGAAAATTATGCTTAGTCCCTATAGTATCTAGGCATTGTTAATAGAATACTCAACAAAAAGAAACAAGTTTACTTTAAATACAGTTTTACTTTTGATTAACTGAGATTCCTGTATTTCGGTTTCAAGCATCAGCTGACAAAGGAATTGTGCACTACATTAATTACTGTTGAGTGATTTTGAGGTTTAGCATTTTTCTATTTGACCAAAAAATAAGTGAAATCCCAACATTGTCATGGCTACATGTCATCTGCCTAGATTTAAAACTGATTATCTGAAATCTAGAAAATTTCCAAAGATCGAAATTACCAAATTCCCAAAGATACTGGGTCTCTGACTTTGTAATGTGTAGTTTTGTTGTTGTCAAAGTGGGATTCAAATATTATTCAAATCTCAGTCTTGAATATGTTAAATGCTTAATTAAATTAAAGTACGAGTTGTGAAAGAATCAGAACTGAAGAAATCAGAACCTTTTTTTAAGAACTGGGATAATAAATACTATTGAATAACATTATACAAATGGTACCCAAACTGTATGCCTTTGTGCTCTGAAATTTTTCAGGTACACATAGATTTTTCAAGTCATACATAGCGAATTTTAAAAGTTTTCAAATTTGTCTCCTCCGGTATTAGTACAGTCCTGTTGGCAATTTTTTCAAAGAATTAATGCCTCAAGACATTCATTTTTTGGAATCTATGAAAAAAGTGCATTTATAGCATCATCGATCTCATTTTATGAATGAAAACTACGTCCATGCAAATTCTTTTTTTTAGTTTAAAAAATAACCGAAAGTCACACATAGATAGAGTGAATAGGGTAAATACTCTATCACTTTGATGTGTTTTTGTTGCATTGCCATGGTGGAGCATGAGTACTCTAACATTAACTTCTTGAAGAAGTTCTGGGAGACACTTAGTGTTATACCAGTTAGCTGTGACTTTCTACTGTCCTTCCAGTTTTGATGGCTTGGACCAGTCTTGTGCTTCTGAAAGAAATGACATACATTGCTTTTTTTCACAGCACATTGTCTTTTCACCATTGTGAGCATGGGTTCATCATCAAAAACTCATACTTTTTCTTGATTTTCTTGATTTGTTGGAACGTGAAAAAATGGCATGTGCCATTTATAATCAACAGTTTATGATTTTAGAAATAATGAAGTGATCATGGTCTTTAAGTAATTTCCAGGTTTCAGGATATTCTGTCAAAGTAGCACCAATCGTTCTTGCAGAATTCTCAGCTGCACTCCTATTTCCAATTCTTACAATAAAACATATGTAATACTCTCTGCAAATGCCAACAAATAGTCACTGCTGTGAGACTGTTTGATTCTCTTTGTTTTTGCATGAATATCTACTATTTTGTCAGATGATCTCTGATTTTTACTGCAAATTTTGTGTACAGACTTCCTGCAAGGAAGTGTGTCAGTTCATAAGCTTTTTGTAACTCATCTGTATAAGAAACTGAATGCAGTCTCAAATGTATGTCTACAGCTCATTTCCCCCCCCCAAATGGAAGGAAAAATACAGTAATAATAGTATAATTTATATACTTTTTCATAAAAACAAAAGGTGGCTCATCGAGAATCACGTTTACATAAAACGAAAACACAGATGTTATGATGCCATTCTTATCCATAATTGGTGGTAAATTGTGCTGCGTAACCTAGGCCAAGTTACTTCTTTGTTGACATATAATAATAATCTGTATATTAATAATAGAAAAATCTGTCATTAAATAGTGGAAAAAATTACCAGTTTGTGAATGAATTGTCATCTAATTTAACTTTTCATGCCATGGGAAGGATTGGCACTCTGGATAACTAGACAACTGTCCTGCATTTGAAACACTATGCATAGTTTTATTTATTTTGTACTGTCAAAATTTTGTGATGTTAAATCAGTTCATAAGTTGTTCTCTATATTTGTATCTATGTATTTACATTGTGTTAAATATGTGATTGCTTCTGAATTGTGTTAAATGTGTGATTGTTTCTGAATAAAACATTTTGCTTCAACATCCAAGATAAAAAAAAATTTTCTAATTTTAAAATATTTATCTACCATAGTCACGTCAGAGATCCATGATGAGGTGCCACAGTGCAGGGACTAAATCACAAACAAAACATCAGTTCCCTGGGATTAACACTTGAAGGATCTTTATCTCACGTAAGCTTCATTTAATTTATGCATTTTAGTTTATGCCGTTTTTCATCCATCACTAAACTGTTGTAATAATGATGAATAATTAAGTACACTGGTGAAAGAAATTAAGAGAATTTTCATACATGATCTACGATCTCCAGAACTACTGGACAGTTTTTAATAAAATTTGGTGTGAACATAGGCTAATATAATACAAACAAAATAATATAAATTATAATAGACACATATGTCCGTGTGTAACACTCATGGGAGTCTGAATGTCTGAAACAGCAGTTGCAGAAGACACAAAGGAAATTAGTTAATAGGGGGTATGATCCCCTCTTACAGTCATACAGGCCTCGCAGCGTAATGTCATATTGGAAATAAGGCAGTTTATCAGTGCCTGTGGCAATTGGTCCCACTCATTCAGCAATGCAGTTTTCAGTTCCTGGGTGGTTCTCGGAGGAGGTTGCGAGTTGCAATTGCCCTCCCCAGAGCGTCCCAGACATGCTGTGTAGGCTTGAGGTCTGGAGACCTGGCTGGCCAACCCATCTGGCGAATATCCTCACTCTCGAGAAATTCGTCAACCATAAGAGCTTATGTGGCCTCACGTTATCATCCTGTAAGATGAACTTGGGGCCTACTGCACCACGGAAAAGGCGAACATAGAACTCTAAGACCTCATCCCTATACCTCACACCAGTCACAGACACTCTGTTGCGGAACATCTGAGATGTGGAGAAGTGAGCAGCCATCCAACATTACGCCTGCCCAGACCATTACACCACAATAATTGTTGATTTCGTGGACACTGGAGGGTAGGTAGCGTGTTCCTGGCTCTCTCCATATAAAAGTATGGAGAGAATCGGTGTTTAGGCTAAAATGGGACTCGTCAATGAACAGAACTGTTGCCTATTGCTCTACTCCAATCACTATGCTGTGTGCACCATGCTAATCGGACTCTCCTGTCCGTAGATGTGAGTGGGACGCAAACAGTCGGCCTTCTGGCAAACAACCCTCTCTCATTCAGTCTTTTGGATATAATCACCCTTGTTAAATGGGTTCTTGTGGCTTCATACAGGTCCTGAGAGAGCTGAGAAGCTGTAGCCCCTCTGTTACACCTCGTTAAAATGGACAAATAGCAATCTTCTCTGGCTGTCATGGCTCTCGGATAACCTTGCTCAACTTTTCTCTCGATGGATCCAGTATCCCAGAACTGATTCCATAGGTTACACACGACATTGGGCGTTAAATTAAACTCTCTGCATATCTGGACTTACAATTGGCCTGCCTCTAGCCTCCCCACAATTCGCCACTTAATTCCATCATCTAAACATTGGTAGTTACTCATTTTTACTGTTCTGGTGTGAATTTAACCGATTGCTGCAAGATAACACCAAGAAATTCGTCGAGATGTGCTAGCAAACGCAATTCGTTTTACCCTCCACACGCTTATGAAGCCTGTTTTTCTGCTGGCTCTGCCTACACACACGTGTATGCTTACATATTTGCCATACAAGATTTGCATTTTTATCTAGAAGCTGTGGTTTTTCCTTCAGTTCAGTTCTTTTCATGTTATTTGATAAAATATGCAAATTCTCTTAATTTATTTCACCAGTGTATATTTGTATATTAAATTATTAAATAAAAAATTATAAAGAGTGCAAAGAGGCAAAACTTATCATAATGAAGCGTGTAATCACTTCTGAACTTCATTTAAGCTTTGAAATGGTATTCCGTATCAAAGCTGTCAAGTGAATCATAAGGCAATAAATATATATCACTTTTTTAATGGCTTAAGTTTCAGATTGTTGACCATAGTGGATGGGGACCATGGATAGAAGCAGTGCATCTAACACATGATAAAGATTTTTCGTGAGGATTCAAGTTAGGTGTATTTGATGCCCACTTCCTGTGAGCAATATTTTTATGTTTAAAGTACTCATTCAGAAGTTTTGGTTTATGAGGACAAGCGTAATTGTCCACAGGGTTAAATATTGGACAAACTTCTGTAGCATGCAGTATCGTAGTGGGTTCAATAATATCTCAGTGCCATGGAATTGATTTATTACACTTCTTGTGCAGATCAAAGCAATATCTTAAAAGAAATTTTATCCTGCTCTATTTGCTATTACAGGCATGGTGTTTAGTTCCTTTCAGCTGTGCTTTTGGCTATGAAACTAACAGGGACATAAATTCATGTTACTGAGGAATCCAGTTGTTTGGTAGGATATTTGGTATTGCTCTCAATATGCTAATAGGGTTCTTTGTAATCTTAACTTTAACATGATTTACCAATATTTTATAGAATTATTCCAAATTTCTCATAGTTTAAAAGTGTTGGCTTTATATTCTGTTTAACACAGTGTGTGAAATAGATGAAATTAATTCCTTCATCTCATGCTCATTGTTCTTCTTTTACTGCTGATAAATAAAATGTGTTTATAAAAATATTTTTAATGAACATTAAACAGATGCTATTAGGTAAATGTGAAAACAATTACATTGAGAAAACTATTTCTATATACTGATGAATATAAGTTACAGAATTACAAGAAGGCTAGCTAAATAAATCTAGGATTTCTGTAATTCAACACAACTGATCATTTACTGCAAACTTTCACAATAGTGATGGTAAGGGCAGTTCAGTAAACTTTTATACAGGGTTCGTAGCGGTTTTTACAAGTGCTTATAAGTCCTTATATTTGAAAATAAAATATAAGGGCCCTTATAGGTGCTTACTTTTTCTTTAAAGCCCTTATTTAATTTTTTTTTTTTTTTTTTTTTGTTTTTAGTGCTTATTTTTTGCTTTTAGTGCTTTTTTTAATGAACGTGCATTTTCCCCTCCGTACCAAAGCCGAAACTATATAAACAACTTTTCTTCCTTGTATGGAAAGTCAGATGGTGAATCTCGGAAATAGCTTTTCCCCCTTTCTCTGCATTAATGTAACCTATGGTTACGTCGTTCTATTGGTCAAAGAATTGCGAAAACCATAGAAAATTCCGGTGCATTCGGTATTCTTTTCCTCCCACCCAAATACTACACACTTTTAAATTTCTATCAAGATTTTAATAATTTACATTCTCGTTCCGCATGGTCAGTTCATATTTGTGTTTATTATGATCGTTATGCTTATATTATGAGCATATGTATGAATATTTATAATAATATAGTTGCAGTAGCTGCTGAAGTTTAGATAAACTTCCAAAAATGGGTGTATTTTTACACAAATTAGCTTTCTAAGGAATAATATTCCGAATGGCTTAAATAAAAGGAAAGTAATCGAATAGTCATAAATTTTTTTTTTTTTTTTTTTTTTTTTTTTGCCAATACATTATACAGTACGGAGGTTGGGAGGTTCTCCCCTTTCTCTGAAAAATCTCTAATATTGAAGCAGCGGACTTTTTTTTTTTTTTTGTCACTGTCCAATCTGGATTGAATAGGACTAAAAGTTTTGCCGTCTACCCAACTCAAGCGAAGAATGATTCTATTCCGGAAATTTAACATTCTGTTCAAAATTAGAATCAAAAACACCCCAGATTAGTAAGTCTCTTTCTTTTCCTTTATTTAGTTCTTTATTCTCCGAATACTGGCAGCTGTTGATTCCGAATCCGATTGCGTAATATCATAATATCACATATGGAAGAATTACGCCGCACGTATTGCGCAATAACGTTTGCGGTATTTTGCAGAGATAATTAATTTTGATTTTCAGTCTGAGATTTATTTATGAACACTTAAAAAAGTTTTACTGTTCTTTCTAAGCAGAATATTTCTCAGTTCCGTTGGTCAATTTTTATATGATGCACATATCGAAATGTCAAAATCATTTATTTAGCCGAGAAATCTAAAGAACGGCTACAATCTCCCCCCCCCTACTCTTTTTCCAGTTACGCTCGACTATACGGAATATTCGACAAGTTCCAAGTATGCGGGTTAGTTAAGCTTTTACTATTAAAGGATGACTACATGAAGCAATTTCCCGTCTCCTGATTTCAGAAATGTTCCTCTTTTTTACTTAAATTACTTTGCTTGGAATATATGTTAAGAGAAAACTGTTATGCAATGAAAATTTAGAAAGTGTTCAGAATTTTTATTTAAGTTAAATTATTTAAATATTAATATGAGTGGAAAAATAAATTGTATTTATTATTAGGTGCCAAGCGAATACAATTAATATGGCTTATTATTATTTATTTTCTATATTTTGAACTGAAATTTCATCATTAACTCTCCTAATATAGTTCTAATATAGTTAGTTCTGCATAGTTTTTTTTCTCTCATTGTAAACTAATTCTGTAAATTGAACTGTCATTTAAAATTTTAAAAAAAAGTTAATTGTTTTCCATGGTTGAGGTAATGCTCATTCTCTTAATAAATATTGCATTGCTCATATTTTAAATTGCAAGTCTAATTTTTCTTTTAAGGTTTATGCAGTTGTGTATAATGTAATTAGACAGGTGCTTATTTTTTTTCTTAAAATGTGCTTGAAAAGGGCTTATAGGTGCTTATTTTTTTAACTAAAATGTGGCTATGAACCCTGTTATAACTGGGCCTTCGCCCTTAATGTAGAAGGTGATGGTTAAAAATTTTAATATTTATTCTTAAAATCAGTTCTTTGTCAGTTGCTTACGAGGGATGGTTCTTTTGATGGAAATTTAACATAAAAGTTCTAGGATTAGCAGTTTTTAAATAAATGCATAAATGATAATTTTTTTGCATTTGAATATCAGTATTGGGTACTTTTCCGTTTCGCCGGCGCAAATCTCACCAAGCAGACTTTATTGGCGACAACATACAGTATACACATAAAAAATATTAAAAAAATGTTAGTTCTAAGAATTCTTTTTTTGAAGGCGTAAACATTTTAATATCGCTTAAAATTTTATAAAAAGCCAATAAATAAAGACAATAAATTTGTAAAAAGACATTAATTTAAGAATTTACTACGCTTTCATGGTTCAACATCCTGATTCGCCGGTTTATATCACGTGACCCCAAGCGATCTCATCTCACGTAAACT